CAGAACCTGACCAGCACCACCCAGAACCTGCTGAGAATCCTGCCAGCACCACCCAGAACCTGCTCAGAACCCCGCCAACACTACCTATACTCTGCTCAGAACCTGACCAGCACCACCCAGAACCTGCTGAGAATCCTGCCAGCACCACCCAGAACCTGCTCAGAACCCCGCCAACACTACCTATACTCTGCTCAGAACCTGACCAGCACCACCCAGAACCTGCTTAGAACCCTACCAGCACCACTCATAACCTCCTTAGAACCCTACCAGCACCACTCAGAACCTGCACAGAACCCGACCGGCACCACCCAGAACCTGCTTAGAACCCTACCAGCACCACACAGAACCTGCATAGAACCCTACTAGCACCACTCAGAACCTGATGAGAATCTTCCAAGCACCACCCAGCATCACGCAGGCCCTGCTGTCAGCCACAGATAAAGCCTCCAGTCCAATTAAGTTCAGGTCAATTAAGAAATTAAATGGCTAATTGGCAACATTTCTATACAGAAGAAGCATACCTCGCTCAAGATAATAGGTTTATGGAAATGATTATGGAAAAATAAATTAATCAATGGGAAACCATGCCAGGAGGAGGAGAGGGGTTTGTCTTGAAGGACATTTAAACACAGACAGGACGTTGGAGATGTTACACAATGTAAGTAAGGGTTCAAGATGAAGGTGTGTCACAGGAAGAAAATGAGCAGTGTGAACATCTCAGAGGTGAGAGGACAGTATTTGCGGTGAGCAACGGACATCCCAGGAACATCTGACACATCCAGACGGCATCAGCAGCACGAGCCAGAGCCTCCTCCTATCAGGGGTTGGTGAGGGGCTGGGGTGGGATTCGGGGGTGCGGGGCTGACCCTGCCATGACGATGAAGAAGTCCAGGCGATTCCAGGTGTCGCTTAGGTAACACTTGGGCCCGAAGATCCCGAGAGCGAGCATCTTGACGACCATCTCGACGGCGAAGAAGGCGAAGATGAAGTCATCAAACGCCTGCGGGCACAGACGCAGCAGCGGGAAAACTTAACGTCAAAGGTTCTCCATTATGACATTTTTTCATACTTTTAGTTGCTTTGCTTCTTTTTTTACTGATATTTTCCTGGGACAATTCAAGACAAGCTTCCCATTCGCTTGTCCTTGTCCACGGCCCCTGCTGCTCCAGGCTGAGTCACAGCTCACGATTTCACAGCACGATTACTCACGCACTCGATTATTCACCGGCCCGGGGCAATCACAAAGGGTCAAGTGTGTGACAGAACTTCCCCTTTCTGGGATTTAACCCCCCCTCCCCTGTTCCCACACCTCCCGTCCTCCAGGGGGCGCTCACCTGCAGGATGGAGCACCACTCGGACTCGCAGCGGATGTCCTCGCAGGGCTGGTACAGGCCCAGGGTCGCACAGTTCAGGAGGATGACCAGCATGCTCACACGCTCGAACCAGGTACACAGGAGTCAAGGGTCAACAGGAAATGGAGAGAGAGAGAAAAAAACAAACAGCCACCCCCACTGGCTTGGGAACAGGCGTGTGCCTTCAGAGAAAAACCTGACAGAACGCAGATCTTTTAAAAGCTACCAGACTCGCTCACCAGCCACAAATTCATGTAAAAACAAGACATGCAAACCCCATCCCCCACTCTCAACTCTAGACAAAATACCATTTCATTATATATATACACACACACACACACACTAATTGCATTAATGTTTCTTTCTATGGCTGGTAGATAATGAAAGGACAGACCTTTGCCTTGGCTTAAAAAAAAAAACTGCAGTTAATTCATCACCAAAAAGCCAAACACTCTGTATTCCTGTCTGTCCATCTGGCAGCACACTGTAGTAACCCATAATATTGTTAGTGGGTAACTAGGTAATAACAAGACTGATTACACGAGGGGGGAGCTTCAGTCGTGCACAGCTCCGCTGTGACCCCCCCCCCCATCTTCATCATTTCCATTCCATCCCGCCAGAAAGAGACTGACAAAAAGTTTAAACTGCCAGCGAGAGGCAAACAGAGAGGGAGGGAGGGCGGATTTATCACATTTACACCCCTTAGCCTTACAGAAATCTCCCCCAACAGCGCAGAACGTAAACCTCCCCTGGAACGGACACTTTGGGTCGCTCTCCCCCTGACGACGGATGGCCGACGTGGTATCCAAAACATGAAGACAGACCATCCTTCCGGAACGTTCTAAGCGAAGGCGTCCTGGGGTCCTTGGAGCGGTTCGCTCTCTCACTTATCCGTTTAGTCACCATTAGACAACGTTTCAGGCCGGGCTGTACATCCAAATGCGATGCTTCATCTCGAGTTTTTAACGAATGCTGAGTCCCATCGACTGGGTTCACAGCAGTTTGACCAAACAATAGGGAGGCATCACCCACTTCAGGGTGAACAGGGCCGATGGAGAATCACAGAGTTTAGTTAGAAGGATATGGACTCAGGTTCTGCCAACTGACTCTGGTCATATGGACTGACGAAGACTTGACTGACTTGTTTTGAAGATTGTCACTGCCAATCAGCTGTCCTTGACTTCACTAGGTTGCTCATTTTTCCCAAAACACCCTTTATCAGCAGGCATATGTATCAAACGTTGTTGGAACCCCTCCTCAGTGCCCTTGTCAGCAAAATTTACACAGAGAATTTACGTGAGCACGCAAAGTGTGGTAGGCAAGGAGGGACAGACAGCCTCTATGGCAAATACAGTGTCTGTTTCCCCTTCAAGATGGCTACGGGCAAAGTGTACTTTTCATGTCCTTGGCCGGACATCCATTAGGGTCAGCTGAGACCAGTCTCCTGAAGCCTCACACAGACGGAGATACAATGAAGTCTGTGACATCACGTCTGGTGATAAGGAAAAACCAGACCTGGATTTGCACAAGCACCTGCCTCATTTAAATGTCAAAATGTCAAATCAAACTTCAGCAGAAGGGGGTGAGGCCGTAAGCACGGCCAAGATTGATTGGATAAAATTCTGGGGATCCCACTGGGCGAGGCCAGTGATTTGCAGCCCAGTGTGATCCCGCCCACTATGGGTTTCAAAACTTCCTTTTTCCTATCAGAGGGAAGTTCCTATCAGAGTTTGACCCAAGCATCATGGGTGGCACCATTTTTAAAGGTAGGGTTTAAAAACAGAAATAGATGACGCCGCACTAGCAACCCCCCCCCCAGCAAGAGAAGCGTAATTAATCACATCACTCCTCCAGCAAAGTGAATAGAGAAAGCTATTAATAGGGACAGATTTCCAGCATCTACTCTCCCACAGAGCCACAGTCAATAGAGCATGAATAACACTGAACTGGTTGCTGCTAAATTTCTCCCCCCCTACCCGAATATCACCCTCAGGAGGTACAGTAATGGGGGGGGGGGGATATTCATCTCCTCACCTTAAAAACACACCTTAAAAATGTTCACAGCTACACTGCCTCATGTGAAACTTGGCTGCAAAAATGAAAAGACATTTTACTTCGATAAATAAACTCCTTTAATCTGTGTTGATAGAACAATGACATTAAGGGGGGTGGGGGGGCAAGACAGGGGTCCAGAGATGCACAGGACGCACCAGGAGTTCTGGGGGATGTGGTGCAGCATGTTTGCATGCTGTAAAAAGCCAGCAAATACACTGGCGCAGACTGTGGCACCTATGGCTAGAATGAAGTGCGTTTCCAAACATAAAACAGGGGCTCTCCCTTGTGAAATATTTGCAAAAACTTCCTCGGATGTCGGCCAGGGGAAAACCAACATCTGCGCAGACACCTGCTGGCTCTCGTGCAGGAGACGTCCTGCCTGACCGGGAGAGACTGTGCCAGCCAGGCTCTCTGAGGCTACTCACCGTACCCGGCTATACCGTGACCCCACCCAGAATCACACACTCTCAGGAACGGCGTAAAATCGCAGCAAAGTCGTCTTAGCTATCAGTAGCCTTTGGTCAGGAATGCCGGTGTTTACTTAGCTACAGGTGCAAAGTGTATATAGGGCCTTAGAACCATAGAACCAGCACCAACATTTACAGCTTATAGAACGACAGCCGGCTAACATGGATGCTGAGGAGTCATGGTACAAACTGTTTAAACACATGAGGGTGACAACACCCCAAATCTGAAGATGGGGAAAGTCCTGTTCGAGTCCTGTGCTACGGAGTTTTAGGACACCACCCAAAAGAAAAACAGCTTCATTTTTTTACTAATGGAAAAAAACAGCTCTTGGCCCTGCGGTTGATTAAGTTAGCCATGATAGTTCTACTGTGTGAAATCAATTCCGTGACCCAGGTGCCCGGCAACCAGCAAAGCAGCCTTTGGAGGGAAGATCTGCAGACCACCGGCACAGAAGCGCCGACCAACGAGTGATTAACGCGGCGAGAAGGACAAAGAAATGCAGACAGACAACCGATTACTGGCTCCATAACTGCATAACTACCTGGAATCTGGCGGACAGAGATAAGGCCTGAGCACTGGCCCGCAAGGCCCTTATATGGACACATTCGCAGGCTCCTTCCACCCACTCGCTGATCCGGGATCAGCTCGCCCTCAGGATGTCAGGCTAGCACCGCTAGGAATGAAAAGTGCCGTAACTGAGATATGGCTCGCTAAGGAGGCTGTAGACTAAGAGAGAATCGCTCGAGAAAAACAGACCGAGCTTCTTCCGAATTTCAGACTTGAGAGATCATCGGACAGTCACTCAGCACACATTCCAGGCACGAGGCAGTCTTTGGCACCGCAGATGGTGTTCATGGGGACGCGTTGCGGTTTTAAGGGCGGCACCGTGACATCATGGCACCAGAGAGGCTGGATTCGGTGCTGGCCAACCCTAGGACGCCATCTTTTGAGGGGGCGCCAACTCATCTAGCCGATTTCACTTTGTCTCCAACAGGGGGCACTGGTGGTGAAGTTTGCCTAGAGTGTCACATAGGCTGCGCTCAGTATGACTGGATTTAAAGACTAAGGAACACTTTTGCAATGTGTTTCTGCAGCTTGACCACTTAATATTAATTAATTTTAATAACAACTAGGGGAATTCTCAGATCATCATAGAACAGTCTTCAGCGAAGGCACCGTACCTATTATTATTCTACAATTAAGCCATTTGTGCAGCCTGGAATTTCCCTAGAGTGGTTACGTTTAATACCCAGTTCCTTAACTGCTACCCCATGAGCAACGCCAGTTAGCAGTGGGGGAAAAAGACCTTGGAACGTGGGATTAATTTCCTGGTTACTCCACTTCTTGTTGGTTGAACCAAGCAGAACATGGTCATGGCCAGAAGCCCCTTTGATGAAAGTATTTTAATAAAACTCAACCCGTTTAAAGATGGCTGCTGTACTGGCTGTGGTCTTCCTAAGAGAATCAGTCTTTCTGTTTTTACACACAGCTTCAAAAATCACGTAATTCTGAACACTCATTCCTTCAGCTCTGACCCAGGTGCTTGTGGGCCTCATCATCAGCCTGAGGCATCATGGGAAAAAAAAAATCCACCCACGCTTTCCAAGTGGCTCGAACCAATAAGCTGATGCCGCAGATGGACTCATTTCACTTTAACCAACAGTCGCAGTCGCTTGAGGAAAAAGACCAACAATCCAGGGATGCTTTTGTTTGCATTGTTCCTGTTTCGTTTGATTTCGTTTAGTTTTGTTTTCCTCACAGACTCATGACCCTGGACTCCTCGAGCCACATAGCTACCAGGACGAAACTACTTAGACGTCGAAACAATTAGATCAACAAACTACAGACAGATGCAAACATTTCGGCTGGGTCTCCCCGCAGGCTGTAATTTCTGATAAAAGGGCTGTAATTTTGTGCTGGTGTTTACGTAGTATTCCCTGCACACTACCCCCCCCCCCCTCCCCTTCGCTGCAGCGCCCGCTGCGAGGTCTGCCGCAACGCTGAACGGAAGCACGACGCATGAGCGGCTGTGGAGGACAAATAAACAGCAAAAAAAAAACAACAGAATTTAGGGATTCAGCCAACCGGGCTCTGCTGTTGACTTTTGGGAACCATGGCGATATCTGCGCGATTGGCTCACGATGTTCACAAAGAGCAAATACATTAAGGAATACATCTGTGGGATACCAGTCAGACACATTTAAACCCCCCCCCCCCAAAAAAAAAAGAAAACTTTACATCTTCTCAGCAGAACTTCACACCCACTTGCTATAGGTCCCCTGGCAATAATAACCAGCTATTAACAATTATTTATTTGTTGGAGATTAATGGGCGCATTAAGGAGGACCATGTGACAGACCTGCATAAAACCATGTGAGCCAAGGGCTGCTATGCTGTATATTTAACCCTGAAATTAACTGATTTAAGGTGTGGGTCAGTGATGTACACATGTATCTCAAGGTCAAAATTTGGAGGTAGGTTGTTCATTAGACATTTCTTGCCCCTCTCCATATATGGGAGCACAGCACAGTGTCCTAGTGAGTACGCTTCCTGTAACCATGGCAATGTGGA